GGGCCCCGCTCCATGAAGCTTTACGCTTCAGACCCGCTTCCTCCCTTCGGTCTCTCACTTGCTGGAGGAGGGGTCCCTCCCCCCGGACACCTACTCCGCTGCCCTCAGCACCCTGCACAGCTCCGCTGTCTCATCCTACCTGGCCTCAGAAGCTCCCAACGAGGTGTTGCTGACCCCTGCCCCCACTGTCTCATCCAACGAGCTATCCCTCCCCAGGGCGGCCAGTAGCGCTCTCCCAGTTCCGCTCTGGCTACTCACCGCGACTTAACTTGTGCCTTGCTCGCATTCGAGCAGCAAATAGCCCTCTCTACCGAGTGCAGTGCAACGGATCATACCACCCATCACCTCTTCATCTACTCATCACACCTCCACCTCGCTAACCCCACTGGACCTTTGGTCTAACCCTGGACCGACTGCGGCGTCCCTCGCATCACTCCCATCCTTCTCCGACATAGTACTTGGAGTGGATCGCCCGCTCCCTCCTCCTCCCCCGGAGCCACCGCCTTTACTGGGGCGCCGCCGAGCAGCAGACCCCGGTAACTAACAACAACAACGATGACCTATCCCACCCCACCCCACCTCTCTCCAGACACTCCGGCGACCCACCTCTCCTCTCTTACGTATTCCACCATGCAGAGGCATCTCTATGCGTTTATATGACTTATGACTGAGGACTACTGCATTAATTATTTTTATCCTATTTTACGCTTTGCTCTGCCCTTTGCATTATTGATGTGTGTATATTCAGTGTCTTAACATGTTGCTGGGTTTTTGTCAGAAATAGTTGTACCAGAATATAGAATAATGTTCATAAATGTGTTATTGCTGATTATTGAGAGTATGAATGATGCGTAGAGCATAAAGCCAGTACTAGCATATCATACTCAAAGCGGCGTTTCTGCCAATCCATATTTTTTGCATAGGTTATGTAAATGTGTAAAAAATTTATAATAAACGTTTAATTGCGTGGACAGAATTTTCTAGTTATCCCCGAAAGAAAATAAAATGAGCCTGAAGAGAGCAGGTAGAGGGCAGCGTATAGGGCGTGTCGGCTGTAAGTGAGCCGGAGCCCGGCAGGACTGATTCGTTGCAGCCGAGCGCCAGCGCCCAAATAAGGCCTTACGCAGAACGTTTTGAACCCCTTAATAAGCGGTCATCCTTGCTGGCTTCCTGCTTCCCTCATGCTTCTATCATGCTCTTGGTTCAGCGCCGGCCCACCTCCTACACTGCTTCTAATTTTGACTGGGTTATAACGTTCAGCCTGAACAAGTTTCCAACTGTTCTTTCAGAGACAAACACATCTACTCCTTCTGCCGTCCGCGGTCCACGTACCAAGGTGGGAAGAAGGCTTAATGAAGGCTATAAATGACTTAATTCATTGGACAAAGCTTGTAGGTGCATAACATATTATAATGAGCATACAAAAACAAAAGGCAGAAAATAGTTCACTGATACTCTAGCTAAAAGAGCAACTGAAATTGATATACATGAACCTGAACATACTACAGCAGATGCAAAATTAGATAACGCTATAATGACTGATTTCAGTATATTATACAGGTCTTAGGAATTAAAAAAACGTAAAACCACGCTGACCGGAGTGAGTTGCAAAATTTGTAGTTAATTGTTTTCTAATGTATAAAATAGTTTTGCAGGGAAAGATTAATATATTCGCAGGAGTGATTTTTCTCCAGAACAAGTCACAAGAAGTGCCAAAGAAGCATAGATCGACGATCAATGGCAAACAGATTGAATTGATGATGTTAAGGGACACATGTTGAATTGAAAAGTTCTGCCTATGTTTTAATTATTAATAATTTATTTCTCTTATTTTCCACCAGTTAGCATTAGTGAAATGATTTATATTCAGTGAGATAGTTTTTGCTATTATTGGCAGTATTTTTGGTTCTTAAGTCGCCTGTAACTTGTTAAGTTACTGTTGAGACAAATATGATCTTTTTGGAATGTCCATTCTTGCCAAGCTAACCTGCTGCACCTTAAACTTGCTGGCCGACAAAACCTTATTGCTGACTTGCTGAAATGTCATTCATAAGCTTACAATGGCTCCTAAATGGTGATTCAAGGAAATGCTCTCGCCACGCAACTAAGACCTAAATTTAAATTATTAAATGCTTGTATAAATCATCAATTTTTTTTAGAGATCTGTATTAGGTAGATTAATGTATATTTATGTGTTATATGTTAATGCGTATTTATGTGTTCCATTTTATGTGTGTTATGTGTGTTTAATTGTTAGATGAGTTTTATGTTCTTCCATGCATGCAACTTTGCAGGTCGGCCAGTCTGGGACTAGTTTCAGATGAGTGATGGGCCAATTTAGGGTCAGTTTTGGGCCAGCCCGAGATATCCTCCAGACGCCGACGAGTTACATGGCATTCCTATGGGGAACATAAGCTGAGCTCAGGCCGGTGCATGGGACTCTGTTGTACTGATCAGTCCAGTCTGGGAACTCGATCTTGCCGTAACTGCGCTAACGTGCCAGTTGAGTCTGCCCCAGTGCTCCTCACAAGTAAGGTCGCCGCCTTCCTGTTTCCTCCTCATTACGGACGTTTCCTGTTGGACACGACCAGGCCTGACCCAAGACCAATTTTCATGAGCTTGATTTTATGTTTGTTATGTTGGTTTGCTTTAGTTTACGCATTATTATTCTGGTCCAGTTTAGTTAATTTAAAGTTATCCTTGTTTATTTTGTTTTGTTCAATCCAGTTTGGGCTACTGGTTATTTTGTGTTCTCATGCTAGGTTCACCCTATCACTCATAGCCCTGGGCGGTCTCATTTTTAATCACCTACTAACGTTAATATTTCATCTATGTACCATTTATCTTTATTTAAAATATTTTTGCTTGATTCTTTCCTATTTGTTCTCTTGAGTTCTGTTTTGTTTTGTTTCACGTGCTTATATTATACCGGCTGGACCGTCGACCTTTAGCAGGGCTGACCCCAACGTTTGTTGCCCAGACCCGAGACCATATGTTGACCCCTGGCCCCCAACAATATGCAGAAAGAAGTATACATCAATAACATGCAGAAGTAAACTTCAACAATAGGCAGAAGAAGATCAAGGTAAAAGCTACATTCTAGAGGTGATGGATATTCTCTTTAAACATGCATGGGCAGTTCATATACGCAGAAAGACTGCTGAGGAGATGAAAACTCCTTTCCATAAGCTCTTCACTGAATGGAACCTCTCTAAAATTCAAACAGAAAATGATTGAAACAGAAATGAATAAGCCAAATAAGGAATTATTCAAGAAGCATGAAATTCAAGGGTTTGCTGCCGAGGATGAAACTAAATCGCAATTTGTTGAAAGAGTCGACCAAACACTAAAGACAAAAATGCTGAAATATTTCACTTGCGCAAAGACATGTAAGTGGTACGATAAATTTCAGCTTTAATTGGTAATTAAAAAAAATAGTATCATAGATCAATAAAATGGCTGCTCATGAAGTTTCATTCAAGCAGAAAAACATCTTATACGGATTTATCCCTGGAGTCTAAAAAACGTTGTAAAAAATTTAGGATTTGAGATTGAGTTGGAATTAGTAGTAAACGGAATGACTTTATTAGAAGATAACTGCCTAAGTTAACACGCGAGTTGTGGACTATCTCTGAAATATTAGAGATCAAACTAGTAATTTACAGGTTGAAAGATTAATCGCCGACGAAGTATGAATTATAACAATATTGCAGCAATGTTCATGAAATTGAAAAAAAATTCGAAGACGAAGAAAGGAAAATTATAATTTAAGTAGACCTGATATGGTGTTTCATCGCGGATATCGGAAGTTAAACAAAAATTCAATTAAACATACATCTATTCGAATACGCATAAAGTTCTATGTACACAAAATCTGAAATTGAGTTTTATTTAATTTGTACCTGGATTATCCACTATGTAATTTATGGAGTCAAGCTTGACTAATTCTGAGAAGATGTAACGTTGCTAACGCCCCGTCCGGGGCTAGTTGTAAAGATCCAAATAATCTAGAAAAAATCTTGAGTCGAGCTTACTTTCAAACGACTAATTTGGGGAATGCTAGCTTATAAACTTTCCGATGAATATAAGAGTAAATTGTATCGCCATAAACAGAATAAAATTATACAACCAATTTCATACATCAGTCGACGATTAAAATAAACAATTGTTATTCCTAATCGAAAGTTCTCAGATTGGACTTTGGTACCAAGTTCAGGAACTCGAAGACCGCGTTATGTCATCTTAACATTTCCAACTGCAAGAGATAATTTAAAGATTTAAAAAAACAATGACTGAGCACTGTGATTATAAATGAATTTTTTCGACTGAATGAAAGGTATCTTAAGCAAAACTTGAGTTAGAACTGACGATAAAGCTGGTTTCTGAAACGTCTGCTGCTTAGAGAAACACTGAATGCTCGGGCTATTTTATTCACTTTAAATTTCTCGACAAAATAGTCAGTATGATTACATTGATAGAGATATGCACTCTGCAGAGCTTCAAGAAATGTGTCATGAAATTCATAAAATTAGCCACACTTCTTTTGTTGATCAATAAGGACGAGCACATCTGCTATAAGAAGCATTAAAAAATTCGAATCAATCATGCGGTGGAAATCACTCAAGTAATGCATGCTCTGGTTAATTCATGCCGATTAGCTCGGTAACGGTGCTGGATTGGAAGTGCAACAAGTCGGGTCAATTGGGCGGACAGATTGTGGGCAGTGTGCTGGTGAGTGCAATTCCCATGCTACACATACATGGAAATTTATATGAATAACCTGGAGCAGCAAGTATATATTTCCTCCTACTCAAGCTTAATAAAAAAAAATCCGCGGAAAAAGGCACAAAATCCTGTTTCCATGAGCGATTGAAATATGATGACGAAAAGTGCCCTTATTAATATTTGGTAGTTTCGGATTTTTCAGCTTCCCTCCCGTTTCCCACTCGCAGCATCACAATGATAATGCACCGCCTTATTCCTAGTAAGCAGTTCCCTACACTAAGCCTGACCTCAATGTTGTACGTGCGTTCAGGTTGTAGTTCCTTGATGGTGTGGCAGAAGTGGGCTGCGCTGTCGCTGCACTCCGACGCGTGGACGTAGTGAGAGACTGTAGCCACCTTGACGCGGTAGCCGCTGATGGCGGCCATGGGAGGACAAGGTTTCCTCCACCGCAGGCTGATGGAAGTGAACGTCGTGGAAGAGGTCAACTCCTCCACAGGCCCAGGAGCTGATGATAAACACGGTATGTTTGAATTAAAAAAGGTGTCATGAAATTTTGAGCGCACTTTTGCGCTAAAAAAAAGGGAAGCGCTTTTTTGCGCTCATTTGCTTCCCCTTCAAAAAATTACATACTTACCTGATATAAGAAGGTAAAATATTTAATAGATTTGTATGCAGTAAATGATTCCAGCGTCATCTTCATTTGTGACTTATATATAGGTAATGGATATGGAGTCTCAATTATAGCAGTAAAGAGAGGCAGTCTCGCTCACCTTCGTCTTGCAAGCAAATAAACTAAGAAGTCACCTGTACGCAGAGGCCGTCCGTCCTTGAAGATGCTAGAGTAAATAAACTAAGAAGTCACCTGTACGCAGAGGCCGTCCGTCCTTGAAGATGCTAGAGTAAATAAACTAAGAAGTCACCTGTGCGCAGAGGCCGTCCGTCCTTGAGCCAGTCTATGACAGGGGAGGGGCTGGATGTGACCAGACACTTGATGAGCTCGTCCGTGCCTACGATGGGCGTCTGGTGGCTCGGCGTGTCGCCGAAGTCGATTTTCACTGCAACAAAAATGGCATCAATATTTCGGCGGCTCCTGACTAACGTCTCAATTGACACGGGTCCTCATTTGTTAGCAAGGTTTAGATAAACTATTTCACTTTGAAACGATTCGATAGTAAATTTTCAAGACCAGAATGCACCAATCAATTGACCGATATTTCAAAATACACAATTCGGCAATATGGTCTATGATGCAGAAAGATGTACCAAATTTATCATGTTGAATCGATAATCATATTACATTGAGCAATTGATATTACATGCCTACACCATACTCTGTCATCTGGCTGGCACTCTATAGTGCATAAAGAATGGCACAATCGTAGAATAATGATTTCAGTCTGCGAGCGCGGAGAAACGCAATATTTTGGATAAGTGAGAGGATAATAAACTTTGTATTTTGTAATGGATGATAAGTTCCAATTTACGTGGGATGATTCATACATTGGAAATGAGTTTGAAATCGATTTTATTGCCGAAACAAATATTTATTAGGCTGAAAAAAATTTTGAAAAAGAAACTATACTAGCACAGAAATTGAATTCATGAAATTTCGGTAAATGATAAGCACTTATATGGAAATACAACAAAAATTCTGTTAGGAGAATTGGACTAAGAAATAAGAAATACTCAAGCGTCTTACTCGGCAAATAGAAAACACAAGATTCTTTGGCGACGGGAGCTTTCTTCAAAAGAATGAGGATTACCATCAGAAAGAAAACTAAAAAGAAAACACAGTAGCCCACCGACCGGTAAGTATTTACTTACAATATGGGAAAACTTTCAACACCTTAAGGCATGAAACTGACTTAAGAAACTGTGGACAGAAACGTTAAGGATCTTACCGAAAGACATGACTTGTATGGATGACTTGAGATTCTGGTTGCCAGCGTACACGGCAGAGCAGTTGTAGGTGCCAGAGTCCTCTTCACGCAGCTTCTGGATGTACAAACCCAGACTTCCTGGGCCATCTTCGATGATTTCGATTCTGTAAAGCATCCAGAAAATCGGATTATTTTCCGATCACTGCTAGGCACTCTAGTTGAGTACAGATCTTAGTAGTACAGGGTTTAAAAACAACAGAGAGCACGAGAAATTTTTACAAACAAAATAAGTACAAACGAGGAGGAAAAAATTAAATGGAAAGCTGCAATCGATTTGTAATTGCCATGAAATTCATCACCAGTCACTACTTTGGTATAATAAACTAAAAATCGATGATTTATGTTGAAAAGATGGCATCCAATAATTCAAAATATAAAGGCATACATAAATTCAGGACAGTTCAAACAGAAAAGCTCATAATGGTTCGAACTACCCAAATTATGCAAACAAATATAGTTTTTAAATTGATAAGAAAACCATGCACCAGCAGGTTTGTAAATAGACGATTAAGACAGAAAGTAGCCATTGAGAGGCACAAATACTTTTGAGAGGCACAAATACAAATACCTAAATTAGGTCGCGATTAAGAGGAAATCACTTATTAGAAATGCAATAGGTAATAAAAGTTTCCAAAAATCTTAAAATGCAGCCCTGAAACCATAAGGACTCGGCTTTATGATAATTTAAAAACCCTATCACAATTGCTGCAAATTGGGTTTGATTAAAACTGAATTTTGGAACCCAACTCCGAATCATACTTACATAATGCGTGTATATATACAAATGTGAAATGTGAACATTTGTTAGCCGAACTCATTAATCTTACGTTTTATTAATCGAAACAGCACAAATCTGTTCTGGATTAAAAACGAACGCAATTTTACAAGAATGGATAAAAAACACCATGCGACATAAAAAAAATGGCCTGGATTGCTACTTTTCTGGCTGAAATACCACCAACATCCAAAGCAGACTAGCCTCTACCATTTGCTGATATCCAATTAAATAAAATGACACATCTACTTTCATTGTAAGACGCACACAAGTAGCATCTGCCAAAAACACACATAAGCATTTCGAGGAATATAGCTTGTGGCATTCGGATCAATTGTGTAAAAGTGCAAAGAGGGGGAAAAAGCAAAAAGATCTACGTACGTCGCATTCCAGGCAAATACATTCCAACAAGACGGGGAAAGAACAAATGAGGAAACGTAGAATGATGATAACGCTTAACGGTAAATATATGGAAATGCCCAAGTTGATTGATAAATGATTGAGAGAATAGATGAGAAAAAAATTCCGTGATTCAGAAAAGTTCAGATCCATGATAACGACCACCGTTCTGAACCTGAGAAGCATCGCTTACTCAGACGACTAGGTTTTCAAGAAAAGTGCTTGGACATAGGAGGTCTAAGGAAACTTGCGAATAATAGTCATAAAAAAAATAAGTAAAGGGTATAGCCACAGAAAAGCCAATAAATAAAATTCCTAATGCAACTCAATAATGAACTGACTTCTTTACGACAAGAATTCTCTGATTACGATGTCTTCATAAATTAGACAGCGAGCGTTCGTAAGTTGCAAAACAGGAACCGTGCACATAGATCATAAGATAGCAAGTGGCAACTAGAGGCGGTATGAGAGATGAATGCGAATACACTGGTGATGGTAACGGTGACAAGTCTACTATGATCACTCCTCATAGTTTATTGATAATTATGGTTATTTGAAGTGAAGGTGGCTTTAATCATTAAATAACTATCTCAGTCCATTCAATATGGAAGAGGAGTCATTCAAAAGTACCTACGCATTTTTATGGAAGTAAAGTTTACTAAAATTTTTTCTTTTCATGAAATCTTTCAAGAAACTTTGACCGCTTCACTAATTCGTCGTTAAAGAACTTTCAGTCTGATCATTAGATTCTACGAGAGGTGAAACAAAGAAAATCATTACTATAGTAATGAATGCAGTAGAATGTACTGTACCTCACTTCTACCAAATTGAAGTAGAAGGAATGAAATAAAGGGAGTAAGTAGAGGGTACGATGAATGAAGAAAATGTTTCATGGAAATGGAATTGATTTGGAGAAGAGAGGTGAAGACATACCTCGCACCGGGCCTGCTGGAGCACACAACGAGCGCACGGTGTGGGCAGTACGGCGAGGGACGGCGGCACAATACCGCGACAGTAGCAAGGACACAAGAGCACGAGGGAAACCAAGGAGAATAGGGGAAATAAGAGTATAAAGAGGCAACGAGAGTATAATTGTAATGAAATGGAAGGAGGCAGGAGGAGAATTCAGTAAGCGAGATCATTTGTTACGTTAAATCAGGAGCACGGAAGAACCGGCATTAGTGTGCAGAAAAATCCAACAAATATGACTCAAGAGCAAAGAAAAATTAAACGAATGGAAGGGAGAAAGGTAAAAAGAGTAAATTAGAGGATGAAAAGCCGGAAGCGAAAGGAAAACGAAATTAGTAAATTAGAACCATCAAATTAGCGAAAAAATCGCAAATAATGAAGCAGGAAAGTTGTTAAGATTCAAGATGTAGAGAGAAGAGAGGACGGAAGGAAAGGGAAGGATAGGCACATGAGGCATGAAGAGTTGCTTGCATAATATTGACACTCATGGTGACACCGTGTACATAGACGCTCGCTCGGTTGGCCACGGCAAGGAAATATTCACAGCCATTTTATTTAAACACGAGGCTCTTGGAGGCTCAAAGTGACATACCGCCGATAAGGCCAAAAAAGTTGAGAGAATAATATTGAAACGGCAGGAAAATATTTCATCTAATGTGATGGTAATATCAATCTTGTTTACGACAAATTATTGTGTTGAGTAATAAAGTTGTAATTAATTTACTGATACACAATTAAAACTGCTCTCTAAAATAAAGCCGAGATTAAAATTGCAACATAGAATTCTAGGATTAAAGGATACAATCTGCAAGTGATTTTACTCGCTGTTAGAGCCCCTTAGACAATTTTTAGGCAAATTGCAGTGTGAATCTTTTTCATTTAGAAAATGGTTCAAATTGGCAATTATATCAACTTATTTAAATTTGCTTTCGGTGCAGTGGCCTACTCGGACATGAGCGATAAAACAATCGTGCAACAGACATTCGGGCTATTCAGTGGTGTGAGATCCGTAAGTAAGTGAGTACATGTAGTTACAAGACGATATCCAATCAAAATATTAATGGAGAATAAAGATGAAACACAGGATCGAACTTAATTGTCGTCATGTAAATCATTATATATTAGGAATAGGCCAAGAAACATTCCAAATTTAATAGTACAAAAAAACTTACTTATTCATTAAAACCCTTAAAATCAACTAAATCTAATCTCTTGCAATATCTTACTAATTGGTACATTTTGAATTGTATGAGTATTACAGTAAAAAAATTTTTTCGCATCAGTAGAGTTATGAAATGAAGCTGATAAATTACGTGTTATATCGCCAAATTTGATGCTGAGACACCGAAGTAACTCAAACGAGTTGTTCCGTTGTTATCGTATTAACCGAAGTTTTAATGGTTCTTTATTGGGCCCATGTTTCGCTCTAAAATATGTCATTGACTTAGATGTGTCAATGCAAATAATTATAAAATAAAATTTGTTGTTAAAAGTAAAAAACAACTGTTCATTATAACTGAATAAATTAGTATTGGATAGCAGATGGTAAAATAAACGGCCGGATCGTTATAAAGTTGCTATCAGCCAACTTTTTGCTGAGAAAAAAAAAACTATCGTCAACAAATAACCTGTAGATTTTGAATAGACAATTGGCAACCTAACTAAGATGATGGATCCAGACGAGCGCTATCACTGCAGTTATGCTAAACTCGGAGCGAATGCGCGTGGAATGCTATGGTCAAGGGTATATTCGCTACTGGTCGTACGCTAAACACATTACAGCGTCGCTCTCACTCCACCTCATTTCTTAATTAGGAGACCAAAAATTCTTCTCGTACTCAACATCGTCACGAATCGCGGATTCATGACTCGATAAAACACTTGGCATTTTCGATAAGCTGTATAGGAGTGCGCAATTGTGGAGTTAGCAGCTTGAACCACCCGCTGAGTGA